GGGCTGGGGGGGCTGGGGGTCGGAGCTGAACTGTTTGACATGTTAAATGATGGGAGGCAATTAAACAGTAAAAGACATACGCAGTACATTAGTAGCAAAGCAGGAGATCACAGTTATTATAGCAGCCGTTGAGTTCATGTTGTATGGAGTTAAAACCACTACTACTTTATCTGTGTGACCTCCAGCTAAGTCTCTCCACAGCACTGCCTTCTTTTTTCTTCTTATTTCCAAAGAATTGAATACATTAAGAGAGTGCACTTTTACCTTTTAATGCAGAAAAAAGTATTCCCACTGTTAGCAATAGAGACCGGTGCATTTAACAGTCTTAGAAATTGCACAGCAGCAGCACAAGCACATTAATATGCAAAACGCTGCCGACACATTTCACTGCATAATTCCTTCTGTCTATTTAACTAATAATGTGAGCAGCTAGCTGTGTACACTTTGCAGTCTGCCCTCACAGTGGCTTTATGTGCAGAGAAGTAAAACCAAAAACAAAAGTCAACCTTTAAAAACACACCAATAATCAAGTTTTTTCCGAACCATTCATATGTTGAGATTGATTGTGCATAAATTAGTTGTAGCAATTTGTAATATTAATTCAAATGCATAATTGTTGTTTTTTTAGTGTGCTACCCTTTGCCAAAGTGGCTCAGCTGCCTCATGATCATTAATCCTCATCACGACTGGAAGCGCGGTCAGGAGAAAGACAAAACATCACATCATCTTTGGGAAGAATTCGACACGTCACCTTCATTTCCTGCATGGTCAACAAAAGTCTCCCTTTCTGGCTGCAGAGTATTGTTCTGCAATGAGAAGAGACATAATCTAAATCAGTTCCTTTGTATCTGTGTGTGTGGCTTTTAGTAAATAATATCCTCTGTCTGCTACTTGCATCAGCTTGTATGAACCCATTTGGTCCACGATGCACTGAGATACAGCTGGCAGGCAGTTAATTTTAATGCATACTTGTTTGCTAAAATTAACTTTGACATTTGTTCTGATCTGTTACGTGTACGCTGCCGTGCATGTCAATCAGTTCACTGGTTTGACAAAGTTTGGTGCCGGTATCCACGGCCCCCCTTGCATTTCTAATGCTTCTTGTGGCCCTTTGTTCTGTAATGCACCACTGTCAGGTTACATTCCCCTTTGACCAATGGTGTGACACTAATGGTGAGATTCATCTGTAGATCAGAGTCCTTTTTTTTTTTTTTTTGGGTGATACTCTTTCATCCAGTTTCAACCATCCGGCTAAAGAAAGCTTAGACATATCAAAATCTTATGGATGGATATGACCATAAACACTTTATGGATCTCACAACATTTTATTTTGCGTCCTCAGAACAAATATTACATTTGAACCCACAGTCTTATTAAGCCAAGTATGTGGTTTTCTCCATTTAGCTCTGATTGTGTAGTGAGTTGAACGCTGTTTAAAGGAACCTTAATGTAAGGCAATATTTTTGTTGCTGAGTAATAAAACAAATGTTATACATTTTTCAATGACTAATATGTTATTGTTAACAGTTTTCAACTACTTTGCCAAATAATGTTGCTTACAAATTAAGTGATTTATAAAAGTACTTAGCATAATACATTATTGGACTTATTAGTCATTTAGAAATTGATATAGTACCCTATATTTGTCATGGCTGCTGTAAATGAAGCTTTCATTTTCTGGGGAGATTGTGGCAGACAGAATTGTATGATAACAGAGAAGGGAACTCATGTTAATCCTAACAGTGGCTGTTCGGTTTTACTCCCACCGAAAAGGGTTGGACAACACGGGGCGTGACCACTCAGCTTTTGTTTAGGATTTATTCTTTAAGTTAGTTTCAAAATTAACTTCCTCCATACAAAGTTAGCTTTTTCTTCTTACAAATCCATTTTAAGTTAGCTTTTTCTTCTTACAAATCCATTTTAAGTTAGGTTATCATCCTAAGAGAAAACACATTATAAACAAATTACATAAAGCATACACAACAAAAGTCTATCACCATAAACACATATTTAAACCAAACACTCACTGGCTGCCCGTGTGCCCTGTGGCTGATCAAAACATGACTGACAAACATTTCAGTGGCCCTTTTTAAGATGGGGGACGGTCCCTCATCAAATGAGTCCCAAGGGAAACAAAATATTTGAACCAAGGTTCCCTCCCAACTGAGACCTATTTTGCATGACAATCTGCACAACTAAACCAGTATATTAATGCTTCACGATTGAAATAAATAAATAGAAAATAAATGAATAAACAACCAAAATTAACTCCACAGTGGCATTATTCTATAGCCATTACATTTGTATTTGAATCTTTATTGTCACATTATACTGTGGCAATAACATGCTGGTTACAACAACATTACAGTCATGTAACAAAAGGCCAGCAAGGCAATACAAAATAAAAGGATAGGGATATGTCTTCATGTTATTATATTATTGAAGATACATGTATCTATTGGCTATGGTTCCAGTCAAATGTCTTTGTTTTGAGTCTTGTATAGGGTCCCCTTTTCCCACTTTCTGTTGAGTTGTGTTTCTTGCAATCTCAATTTACAAGTCAATAGCCATTGCATTTTACAACTCAAATGTACAGTACAAAAGTAAGCTACCTTGGCTAATAGTAAAGTTTGTTCTTGGTGAGTTTTCCCATGAACAGTAGTGTGTATCTCTGGTGTTTCTTTCTGAGAACTCTGACATAGCTGTATTGCAGGACTGAGTATGAAGATGTCTCGAAGGAGCAGCAGCAGTCGGCCCTTTTTGAACAGGCATGTTTTAACAATAACTGCTTTATTTGAAAGAAATTGTTAATTGTTGAAAAGTAATTCCTTGAGGGATGTGTTGAATTCATTTGTATTAATCTACAATTGCCCATAGCTGTGATATCTGATATGTTATGAAGCAAGATCAGATTTGGCAACTCTGTTATACACTCCTAATTTCTCCTAGACATTTTTTTGTATTTCCTGCTCAGTGATGAATAGACAGACAATTAACAAAGAACACATCCTTGATGAAGTGCACCCAGAAAAGCTTTGTGCAACATTGAAGTGGCCCTACAGAGTGAGGAGCTGTTAAAAGGGATTGGGTTTTGAATAAATATTTGTTTGATGAATAAGGCTTGGTAAGAAAAAAAGGAACCTTCTTTACTCCAAGCCTAAAAAGCAAAAGGATAAATATTTCACGCCTACACTAAACCACTGAACAGTCTTCTTTTGATGAGTTTTTACTGTCCAATAAATCTTCTGGTCATGGAAAATTGTTACATTTACAAAATGATTTCATAGTGTGCACATTCAAAAAGCTCCGCTATCCATATGTAAATGTTAGCTATGTGCAGTCAGGAGGACGAACGTTGAATCTTCTTATGATATATTTTAAAGCAGCTACTATAGCAAAGTATTCTTTCTGTAATATTTTACTCTGTGCTTGCAGTAAAAATCCAACGTGCTGCGATTTGAGATGGGTTGAAGGCTGAGCAGCTCATTGTTTAAGCCTCTAATGTTCTCTGTAAATGGCTTTCTATGGGAACAGATGGGTGTTGAAATGGGCCAAATGTAGCCTCGGCCCCTGCAGTGAAGAATTGAGCAATTTTGACTGCAGTGGATCACAGCGTCTCTGCTGCATCCTAAATGCCCCCAAAATAACAGTGAAGAGTTCATATGATGTGATTATGTCTTTAAAAATGTTTTATTTCTGCCCCTGCCACAAATAGCTAAACTTGAAAAACTTCTTCTCTCTGCTTTCTCATTTTATTTTTGTCGTAATGTATTTAATTACAATATGGCAAAAAACGAATTCAACCTCTTCATTACATTACATGTTACTTGTAGGACGCTTTTATCCAAAGCGACTTACATACTCAATACTGTGGACAATCGCCACAGGAGCCATTTGGGGTGAAGTGTCTTGCCCAGGGACACAACGACATGCTGACTGCAGTGGGGTTTGAACCTGTGCTCCCCTGATCCGAACACCAACGCACACACGCCTCCCTTCTTCATCATCAAAGCAAGGGAACAAAACTCTTTGCAGTCATCTAAAGCCCAGTACATATTTTTGCTGGATAACAACAGTCTCTCTAGTCTAGATAGATCTTGACCTTACTTGGCACCATTTTGCCCTTTAAAAGTTTTACCTGCAGATCGAGCATGAAGGTGTAAAACAGCTAGCTTCCTCTCCTCCATAAAAACATGTGAGCCCTGTAGTTAACACTGTAAAAATAAAATGTTACATCTTTAGGTCATCTGAGACTGTGTTGTTGAATGAGATGGATCAGCATTTCTTTAGACTCAGTTTACAATGACACATGTTCTCATCACTTAACCCTAACCCTGATTACGGAAGAAAACAAAAGAAAGTACGGAAGCCCTCGGAGGCATTTGAGGAAAAAATAAATAGTGTCAAAAAAGCTTCTCTAATGTAACAAAAAGTTGCACCACATAATATACCAAGCCGTCTCAAAGATTGTTAGATTGCTTGTTAATAAAAATGATATTGAACAAAAAATAATTGTATATTTATGCATATTTTGATGGTTTTCGATGCATTCACTTTAAAACCACTGCTTATAGTTCCCTTAAAGGATCAGGATCCAGCAAATAGTGTACATTTGGAACATTCTTCTTTTAACCCTGCTTTTTTTCAGGTTTTTGCACTGAAAAGATCCTCGATGACTCAGGCCTGATAAGTTAGACCCACCATCGACCGCGTTCTGCACACACATCCCTCACATCGACAGAAAAGTGACAGGATGGGAAAAGGGCAATAGATGAAAGTGCAGATGCAGCAGCCGGAGTTGACGTCCTCATCTCTTCTGCCCCGGTCTGTTTGATTACAGTAGTGTCAGGGCTGAGCCTTCTTAATTGTATTCAAGATCACCACGTCTCCCTTTGATGATGCGTACGATGGGAAACAGAGGGAGAATCAATCACAGGGCACCCTGCTCTCGCTCTCAGACACAAAAAGGCATCAACGCACACACAGAGAAATGTGCAAAGACACACATGAATACTTTTCTGTAGGATTCCCTTTTTCATATTCCCTCCTTTCTCCTTCTGCCTCAGCTTCACACATGTAACCACACTCATACAAATCCACAGCTTTCCATGTAACAGTCTTTACATGATGTTAGCAAAAGTATTGAATTCATCCCCTGTGAGGACCCTCCCCTCCTTTGAATCCCTTCATGTTTCTCTAGCACACACACACAGCTGGTAAACAGGCATTATGTCGCTTTTGTCAGTGTGAGCCACAGCAGAAAATAAGCTGTGTGTGTGTGTGTGTGTGTGTGTGTGTGTGTGTGTGTGTGTGTGTGTGTGTGTGTGTGTGTGTGTGTGTGTGTGTGTGTGTGTGTGTGTGTGTGTGTGTGTGTGTGTGTGTGTGTGTGTGTGTGTGTGTGTGTGTGTTTTTCAGTGAGTCATGTGACACATGTGAAGTGTTGCGTTACAAAAAAGAATGTAATGAAGGTGCCAGCGGTAAAGAGGATTCAGTGGAGGTGCGGATTCAATTAGCTTTGTGGGCGCCATGAAATGATGATAATACAGGCGGGTAATATCAACAGGCATCACATCTTTCTTTTTTTCCCACACAGAGACAGCCTCTTTCTGCACCTCTCACTCTTTCTCCCTGCACCCTGCATGCTTTGTCCTTCACGTATGGTGATAGTTAGGGTCACCGAGGCTTTAAATCGCTGGTAGTGGGACTCGCAGCCAACAACATTTATCAATGTAATTAGCGCTCGGCATACGACCCTGCTGCTACGGACATGGCTGCCTGCTTCCTGATAGGCTATCCAATAGTGTCTCATCCTCCCTCTGCTTTCCTTTCTTTCTGCTCCACCAAAGGGGTGTGCACACCTGTCACAGCCTTCACCTGCTCCGTTCGATTGCCTGCACTAAAACTTTCATTATTTGTGTTTGTGGATAAGAGACAGAGAGAAAGAGGATTTCACGGCCGGTGTGTAAGACTGTTGAAGCAAAGAGTGAGCGAGCAAGCCATGGTATTGTGACATTTGTTCATTTGTCATGTCGCTTGAGTGGTGCAGTAATTACTGCCACCGGGGGCTCGCTCTCGTGTTCGGGGCTCGGTCGGAGAGCAAACAACGCCGTCGATGGGAAAACACAGCGGGAGAGTTTGGGAAAATGCAAGGTCCCTGGGGGAACCTTTCGGCGAACAGTTTGAGCTGTTGCCAAAATTACAGTCATTTTTGAGAATATATCTAGGTGAAATAGGATCTGAAGATCTGCAATTTAAAAAATAATTAGGCGTACTTATTCTCTGATGCCCACACAAATACATGGAGACACAACATGCGTTTAAGAGCATCGAGAAAGACAAAAAGGAAACAAAAGCTAAAGAGGATTAAAGGACAGAGGCATGGCAGCATATGAGAGGTTTCTCAATTCTTAAATTTCCCCTCCTCGACTCCTATCCTCGACTCCTATCCTCGAGACTTAGTGCCGCCCACAGGGGGATGCGAGCGGAGGAGCCGAGGAGGGGAGACGAGGAAAGAGGAGGAGAAGCAGCAGGCGGTTAGAGAAATGAGAACTCCTCTCCTCTGAGCTGTCATTTTAAAGAGACGTCCATTAATGATGACACAGCAGCACTCTGTCTGATGGACAGATGTGTTCATGAAGACTTATATATTTACTTTGAATTCATTCACATTTCGGTATAATGAGACAATAACAGGCTACAGATGCGGACATATACACACATATATTTATATAAATATATACAATTTCAGAATTAAACAAGTATGAGAGCACTCATAATAACGTAACACTATCAGAGACTGGATACTACCCCCCCTCCCCCCCTACTCCTCTGGTCGCTACAATGAGGAAAATAAATTACGGCCAAAAGTTGTATTTACAAGAATTAAAAGTAAGCATAGGACACCAAACCAACTGAGACCCGTCTGTCCGCCGCATCTACGCACTGTACAACACACACACCTACACACTGTGCCACACACACACCTACAGCTCCTAAAGCATAATCAGGCTACAGCCGTTGTANGGAATGAATGAACAGATAGAAACGTTGCATGTTAGGGAAAT